GCCCTGCGTAGGGCCACCTCTACCGGCCGTTTCCATGGGCCTTGCTTAACCCTGCGAAACCCTTTGCGGAACCTTAGGAAAAGCATCTCAGGGCTCTTCACCTGGAGAGTGAAAGGGGAAAGCACTTAGCCATTGTCCCCTCGCCCCAATTAGTCAACAGAGACCCTCCATGGACTCCTCTGAATTTCCAGGTAGCTTATGTGTTAGTGCCCCAGGGCTGGCCATGGGTGTGTCCCCCCAGGACAGGAAGGCAGGCAGGTGCAGGGCGAGGGCCAGTGGGGAAGCCTCGCCAGTGCGCACCTGTGTGAAGTGGCTCCCGCCTGCTCAGAACTGGACTCAGCGAGTTTTAGATGGGGCGCAACAGGTGCCCAGTACAACCCACCCAGCCGAGTACAGCAGGTGAGGCTGATGCTAAATTTCACTGCAATGGTCTGAAGTGTCAGAAGCCGTTTCCTGAGGAACCGACCACAGAGCCAGCTGAGGAGCCCGACAACAAAGCCAGTCTCTGGCAGGGTTTGGCTCCAAGCCAAAACAGTGTGCCCAGCTTAATTACCCTCATCATTAACCGCCATTTAGCTCTTCCCCGTAAAAGCTGATTTGCAAGTATGGAGAACAAGCTCATTTTAAAAGTACACAAACGTAATATGAAGGAGTATGGCCGGCCTCAATCTCATTACGCATGCTTAGTCGCACTTTCTATGAGTGAACGTGTGTCTGCATCTCTCTGTGTATCTGTGTGTTGTGTGGGACTGTGTTCGTCTGTGTCTGTACTGTAACACACATCTGTGAGTGTGTGTGTGTCTCTCTGCACTGTGCGCTGTGTGTGTTGACCATCCAGTAGGTGCCCGGCACTGTGCCAGGCACCAGGGTGCCCTGTATGGGGACTCCACCCTCACGGCACTCACACAGAGAACAGCACGGCTTGCCAGGGAGTGAGGGCGGCCATAGGTAAGAACCTTCAACTCTTAGCCCTGGCTGGTGTGGCTCCGTGGACTGAGCGCAGGCTGCAAACCAAAGGGTCGCCAGTTCAATTACCAGTCAGGACTTATGCCTGGGTTACAGACCAGGTCTCCAGTAGGGGGTGCGTGAGAGGCAACCATACACTGATGTTTCTCTCCCTCCCTTCCACTTCCACTCTGTCTAAAATAAATAAACTCTTTAAAAAAAACAAAATAAAACTTGTGTTGTTGTAAGCCACTAAATCTGTGGTCATTTGTCATAGCAGCAAAAGGAAACCAATTGACCTGTGAAAACTGGCTTCATGTCTTTAAAACGCTCCCCTTGGCTCCCCTTCCAGCCTTCGCTCAGAGGTGCCACGGGCCGCATGTTACACGGGGGCTGGGGTGAAAGTCAGCACGTAAATGAGAACATGCAGAATCGAACTTAGTCTCAAGTGTGCTTTCAGTTACGACCTGGAGGGCAGGGACCAGGATCCACAAAAATGAGCAGATCGACACTCCCCACAGTGTCCTCGCCCTGGGACACCGACAGAGGTGAGGGCCAGCTCCATCAATCACACTCTTCAAATCCTTTCTTTCTTCACGCACCTAATTAAGTTTGCGTCAATTCAAAAACCATATGCTGCAATTCCATTGTAATTTCGGGTTTTGCTTTTATTCCCTGAGTTTGCTAAGGAAAGCATGGGAAAACAAAACCTTGTATTTGTATCGAGGCTTGTTCTCTATTATTATGCAAAATAGCAAGCATACAGAAATGTTTGGAGAGACTATAATTCTGTCTGAGTGCACAACACCCATCTCAGACAGATGCTAACATCATTCTACAGTTGATTCAGAATTTAAAAAAGAAATGAAATGAAATGTTACATGTATGGCTGAAACTCAGTGTCCTCCTTACCTTTGCGATACCACCCCCACCTCCCCTTCTCCCCACCCCAAGGAACCTCTCCCGTCATTGGCGTTGACATGGAGAGCATCCTGGGCATGCTTGTGTGTCTCTCTTACCTAGATCTGTGCATAACCATAAACGATAAAACATCAGTTTACACCTCTAGAAAGATTCCCCAAATGGTACCTACAGCCCTTTGCAACTTACCCCCTTTTCTTCCAGCTCAGCATGTTTCTGAGATTTATCCACATGGCTGCCTGTTGCTCTGGTTCATTTTTTTTAACTGCTGAATAATATTCGATTTTATGAAAACACACAGTTTGTTGACCTGCTTTTCTGTTCATAGCTATTTAGGTTGTTTCCAACGTCTCTTTAGTACAAAGATCCAGGGAACATTCTTGTACATTTCCTTGTGCCCCTGTGCTCGAGTTCCTCCAAGGCATATACTTAGAAGGGAAATTGCTAGGTCAAAGGATGTGTTTAGCTTTAGCATCACTGGTCATTGCCAAATTGCTTTACTCAGTCGTCATACCAGCTTCCCACTGGCTCTGTATGCAAGGTCCCTCTAATCTGTATCCTGGCCGGCACACAGCAGCTTCTGCCTATCTGATCGCTCACGGCCTTTATCTTTCTTAAACTGCACAGCTGACTCTCAGCAACGCAGGACACAGGCGGCACAGGTCTTATGTATGGCCACCTGGCGGTGGGCGGTGGGAGGCCCAGGGGAGGAATGATGAGCCCGCAAAGTTAGCTGTGGCCAATCAGGAGCCAACCAAACCCAGGAGCCTAAGATCCCAGGCACATCACCGTGGGAACCGGACACATGGCCAGAACACTCTCTGCAGCCACCTTCAGAGAAGAAAAGATATTCATGTAATTTGTACCATGTGGTAAACATCAACAACTATCCACACTCACAGAGGGCAAGAAATTACCATTTTCCGGAGTTTTATATTTCATAAGACAATTTTCCATGCGTTCCTCACTTGCCCCAGACGACCCCTGAAAAGAGACTTGGGTTATATCCCCCCTTACAGATAAAAGTGAGGCTCGTGGCTCGTCAGCAGAAGATCGGCTTTCAACCTATTTGCCTTCCAAGCATGTCTTTCCCGTTCACTGGGAGATGGTTGTCTGGGAGCTGGAAATTCTCCACATGTGTCATCTCTTCTGTTTCCCTGTAAGTGAGGTCACACCACAAACATGGAGCATTTCCCCCAAGGGTGAGGCCCGGCCCTCCTGTTTGTACGCCTAGAGTCCGACCCTAAGAACATCCAGGCTCTGGCCGCCCAGCGGGACAGGGACCTTGGGCAAGTTACTTCTTCCCTGTGCCTCAGCCGTCTCCTCGGTAACGTGAGGGTGATGGCACTTCCTGGCAAGGTCCTGTGGACCAACCTCAGTAGCACATCTAAAGTGCCAGGCACGCAGGAGACACACCAGCCTTAGCTCTCACGAGGAAGACTGCGATTGTGGCCACCCCAGGAGGGCGGGGCAGTCCTGATGAGGGCAAAACGCCAAGAGCAGGCCTCGGCATGGCACTAGCCACGTTTCTGGGGCGGCCCGTCCGCAGGGGCTCGGAGGGCCCAACTCTGGAGGGCAGGTGGCAGGAGCTTCTACCAGCTCACTGGAGGGACCCTTGCCAGTCTACAGCTTTGTTTTTCTCATGGCTTGAAAAGTGCCAAAGATTACAGCCAGGGGATGCACCGTGGCTGCCACAGCTGACGGTGAGCCACCCAGGCCCTGCCTCCAAGGCAGGGCCCAGTGGCCCACACCAAGGGTGCTGGGTGGAGAGAACCCAAGATGAGTAAGGAACCAAAGATATATTGATGACCTAGTCTCACTTCCCATCCACCCCAGAAGGTCTCACTCATGATCTGGGAAGCTACCCAAGGTCACTGCTGTCTGAAGCCTCATCATCGGTTATGTAGCCCCAGAGATGGAGAAGAGTGGATGCACCGTATAAAGCAGGAGAGGCGGTTCAGCTCCCAGTTCTGCCTCTTTGTAGCTGGGTGAACCTTCATCTTGGTAAGTCTCGGCTTGCAGAGCTTCTCAGTGGAGCTCGAGAGGCCCGCCCCGCCCCCCTCGCAGGGCTGCAATAGGAAACGAGATAACACGCTGAAGTGCCTGTGAGCTGCCGCGCGCCAAGTTAACGGCAGCTACCACCTGTCACACCGAGCCATCCTTGCTCTTCCGAGTCAGGTGTTCAGCTGTGCAGGTGGGGACCTGGCCAGGTCGTCCACACCTTCTCTCCTGGGCCAGGTGCACCTCTCCCTGGACCAGTGGTTCGCTCCTCGAACACACGGCAGAGCCTGAGACTGTCCAGCCCTTCCGGGAACTACGTCTGCAAGCCTGGCCTCGCAGGCTTCCTGTCCCAGGCGGGTGAGACATCCAACCGCAGGGGTAACCGCACGGTCAGCTGGCGCCAGGTGGAGCGCCGTGGGCCTCCGGAGGCAGCGCTAACGCCGGCTCTGCCCTCGCGGGCTGGGCGACCCTGGGTAAGTCGCTCACCCTCTCAGTGCAGTCATGTGTGAGGTGGGGGCAAAAACCAGGCATCGTGCCGTCGGGAGACCTGAATGAGGCGACACCTGCTTGTCACACAGTGACGGCGTGACATTACCTGTCAGCAAACGGTGGCTTCAGGTTTATCTCCCAGGGCCTCTCTGACCTGGGGGCAGTTGCTGCTCCCCGGCACGGCTGTTGTGAAGGTGAACTGAGACCTCGTGCGGAGCATGCATGGGATCTAGCCCACGACCGGAAGCTCCAGGAATGCAGGGCCTGGGTTTGTCTTATTCCCCACTGACCACTCGGTGCCTCACAGGGGGCCTGGCCCACACGGGGTGGCACTCGGTTAACAGACATGGAACAAATAAAGGAAGTAAATACGGTAGCTTTCTAATGGCTCTGAACCTCAGCTTCTTCATCTCTAAAATGGGCACACGAACGCTGACCTGGAAGGGCTGCTGTGAGAACCAAGGGCCGACGGCAATGTTCCAACATCCGTGCACATTGCACACCAGGGGGCCCACCGAGCATGCCCCGCGCCCCACTTTTCAGGCAGTCACCACAGGAGGCAGCGGGGTAAGTAAGAGTAATGTTTACTGAGCGATACAGGACTGAGTACGATGAAGGGTTTACCAGGATGGCAATGCTCCCCGCCCCCGCCCCGGCCCCCCCCACGCCCAGAGACTACAGTACTTAGGAGTTACAAACGACGGCCATAACTGCTGAGTATCTGTTCGTAACCAACAAACCATAGCATATTTATACTGTATCACGTCGAGTGATTATAGAAATCCATATATATATTGCTTGTATAAAATCTTTTTTTTTTTGTAAAAAATATTAAAAAAAAAAAGAAAGTATAAAAAAACATGTGCAGTTGAAAGCCCTGCCAGGACAGCCAGTCTGTAAACATTCAGTGAGTATGTGCTTTGGAAGGGCGCCCGCGCCTCGTGCCCACAGCGACTCCAGCAGGGCCGGCGAGGGTGCGCCCCGGCTGCCACTCCGGGCAGGACCGTGCTGGACCATGGTGAGCGGGTGCAGCAGGGCCTGGCACTGCCCCTCTCCAGCTCTGCACAGGGGCAGGGGCAGGGGCAGGGGCGGGGGCAGGCAGATTGCAGTTTCACTCTGAGTTCCATCCTCAGCCGCATCCTGGTTGCAACTCATGGCTTTTCCTGGCTGCTCGGAGGTCCCTTGGGTGGGTGCCCAGGAGGACAGGCCGGAGAAGTGCCCACAGCTGCCTGGTTGGGCGTCTCTCCGGCCCAGAGCCTCTGTCCTGCCTCCTTCCAGCCTGGCCCCAGGCAGGACAGCCCCACCCTCGGGGCTACTTTGGTCTCAGCGCTTGGTCCTGGGTTTCATCAGCCTGCTCTTCCCCTGGTGCGGCTGACAGGAGTTTCACAAAAAAAGCGCGGCCGATGCTGGCTGTGCTGAGCCTCATCCAAAAGTTTTTCGTGCAGCAAAGAAGGGCCATCTGGGACCCTCCTCCCTCTCCTTCTCCCCATCTCCTCCTCCTCCTCTTCTTCCTCCTCCCAGCCCATGGTCACTTCTTGTCCAGCTGCTCCAGCAGCGGGTTGCCTTCTGAGTCAGGGGTCTTAACGCTGTCGGTCCGCACGATGCAGGTGGGGCGGTGCCGGTTCAGCATCAGGATGAGCTGCTGCCGCTCCTGCTTCAGCTCCTCGATCTGGGTCTTCAGCTCCGCATTCATGAGCTCCAGCCGCTCAGACTCCTGTGCGCAAACACAGAGACACGGCTTTAAGCTTCCACCGGGGACTGGCTCTGGGGAGAGGCTCTGCCTTTGGGTCGGCACAAGGCTGGCCCCTCCCTGCTTGCTGTCTGCCAGGTCCCCACTGGAGGAAGCACAGAACCTGCTCTGGAGCCCCTGGGATAACTGACCTACAAGCAGAGTCCGTCACACCTGTGACACTGGCCCGTGTCACCAGTGACGTGAACCCAAGTTGCATCTGGAGCCAGCCTGGCTGATGTCCCGCCTCTCTGCCCTCACTCGATCCTCCCCAAACACAGTGGCTTCCTTGCCCTTGCTCAAATATGCCAGGCACTCTCCTGCATTGGGGCCTTTGCATAAGAAACAAAAGGTGGGAGAAGACTAGGCCTGGTGGATCTAGGACAGGTTTGCGAAGGGTCCACCGAGGGGCTAGAGGTGGCCCTTGGGTGGTGGCGAAAGGACAAAGGGCTCTGATGAGTGACAAACGCATGTTGCAGAACTTTTGGCTTGTGGGATGAACAAGCCCTGTGTGGTCATGTAGCTCCTTCTAAAACATGTGCTTCCTGGTTATTAGCCTGTAATTGTGTGAACCACCTCTGTCTAGAAGCTTTGCCCACTGGGAGGAAATAACAATCGCCCTTCTGGATCCAATGTGGGGACTCAAATAGACCTCAGGAGAGATTTCCAGTGAACTTGCAGCTCAGCTGGAGAGGCGCCAGGGAGAGGGAAGAATGCTGGTTTGATTTTGGAGGGCTGCCTGTTTATAGTGATGGGCACGCTGATTAAAGGCTTGGGGGCCAAAATAATACAATAAAAAAGCTCCTGAATGATTTTTCTTGAACCGAGTCTAAAAACTTATAACCAGTTGATTTTTTTGATCTTTATATTGTGCTGATTTGAGAGAGAGGGGAAAAGAGAGAGAGGCAGTGAGAAAAACATCCATGTGAGAGAGAAACATTGATCGGTTGCCTCCCATGTGTGCCCTGAATGGGGATCGAACTCACAACCTACATATGTGCCCTGACTGGGGATCGAACCTGCAACCTTGTGTTGTACAGGACAATGCTCCAACCAAATGAGCCACCTGGCCAGGACAAAACTTATACAGTTTGAGAGCTGGAATTCATCCAATGACCAGCAAAGTTTTAGACCAGCGGTTCCCTACCAGGAACAGTGTTGCCTCCTGGAAGACATTGGACAACGTTTTTGGTTGTCACAGCTGGTGAGGGGGCCACTACTGGCATCTCGTGGCTGGACACCAAGGATGCTCCTCAGCCCTCTGCAATGCTCAGGGTGGCCCCACAAAAAGAACTGTTTTGTCCCAAATGCTCACAGTGCTGAGGTTGAGCAACCTGCGTTAGTCTGGGAACAAGCTGCGGCCACAACTGTGTGTGTGCCAGCAGGCCGAGCGGCCCTGGCTAGAGCTGTGAGCTGGCCCCTCCACCTGGGGGGCCCCCGCACCCCCCGGGCTGCTGTCTTCCCCACCCCAGCCGGTCTGACTAAATTGTTCCTTGTGCTAGTCTCTGAGGGGGCAGCGTTAGCGCCTGGGGACCTCAGAACTGCTGAGACGTGCAGTCCTCGTGACTGCGTGCTGAGGGAGAACAGAAAAAAAGGGGGGGGGAATGCTCAGAGGGGAAATGTTAAAAACCGGCTACGGTGATTTTAGTTCAACAGGATGAGGCACTGTGGGGAGGCTGGCCTGGCCCACCGTTCTTGGAATTCTGAGAGAAGTCCACCCCTGGGGGCCAAGAGAGGCCCCTCATGGAACCAGGAGCCCGTGACCCATCAGTCTAGGACAGTTAGGTGCCTGCCTTAGCCACTGGCTCGCTGAGTCTGAGGAGCTGGTGACCTTGGGAAGTTCTCAAAAAAACCTCTGACCTCCGGCTCTGCCCAGCCCAGGCTCCAACGCTGAGTCCTGAGCCTCGGCCTCAGCCACCCGTGAGCATCTGCTGGGGGGCTGCTGTGTGCAGCGAGTGCTCCGGGGACATCCGGAGACACTTGAGCCCCCAGCGCGGCTCTCATGTGGCTCCCACTCTGGGGGGAGGGGGAACCCCTACAGGGTGGGGCTTGCTCTGTGCCCATCAGCTGGGTGGAGTCCGCAAGGCCTTCAGGGGGGCTCAGCGGCCAGGTCTGACCTTGGGTTGAGTAGAGAACGTCCCGGGGGATGGGGAGAGGTTTCACGAAGGGAGCCCTGAGTGAGCAAGGACACAGATGTGGAAAAGCTCAAGATGCATTTGGGAGATAAAATCTGTGACCACAGGTCAGTTGAGGGCGTGGCGGGGCAGGACGCTGGGAAGGTGTGTGCAGAGCCAGACCGATAAAACAGCTTTAGAGCTGGAAGTAGGGGTCTAGAGCAAGTTCCTGAACTCCTCTGAGCCTTGGTCATCTCACCGGCAAAAAGATGATGATTGTGACCTTGCATGTAAACCAAAGGCTTAGGGAGGCTGAAGGAATTTTTCTTTAAGCTGTGAGCAAGAGAATATGAAGAAGGAGAAAGGGGAGAAGAGGAGGACGTTTCACAGAAAGCTTGGCAGGTCCTGGTGACCACCTGGATTTGGAGAATGAGAGCCAGGGACAGAGCCGGCCGTGAGCCTGGGGGAGGGGAGCTGGTCCGGAGAGTAGGGGGGAAAGGAGGGGTGGGGTTGCAGCGCGGTGAGTGGAAGCTAAAAACGGACGTGCGAGGGGCAGTGTCCAGCACTGCGCACGGGCCCCCTCCCTGAAGTGACTGCAGGGCCACCCAGCCTTGAACGTGAGCATCTGTGTCACACGGAAGACCGGACAGGTGTGTGGTGGCACCCTGCTGCACACAGGCGCTGGCCGCAGGAACGCCACCGCACGCTGTTGGCTCTACGGCGTGAGGGCGTGCCCTAGAGTACCACCTGGCTGGCCGTTCAGCGTGTCACTAACCTTCTCCGTTTTACTTCCTTCTGTTTTATCAGTTGGTGCTAGCGAGGTGAGTTCAGAAGAATCTCTTTTTAGCCGTGATTGTGGCAGTGGCGTGTGGCTTTATAACAGCAATTACCTGATCTCTGCTTTCCTAATTAATTAGGATCGTGGGCTAGGATCTTCACATGTTAATTATGAAGTGAATAACGGCTTGCATGTTTTATCATTTTGCCTCTGGTAGATCTTTATTGCCCTAGAGAAAATGAAACCATTTGTTGTCTTAGAATAGAATGAGAACGTGAAGTTTCGCTCTCCTCCTCCATGGTGGTCAGCAAAGGCAACAGACAGAATACAGGCTGCGGGGCTGGGCATCCCGGCTGTGTGACCTCGGCCAAGTCCCTCCCCTTCTCTGGGCCTCAGTTTCCTCCCTGAAAATATAATGACCGGCCCAGGGGACTTTAAGCATTAAGATTCTCTGACTCTAGTTTGTATTAAAGTTACCCTGAGGGTTGGGAAGAAGCCTGGGGCAACTTTCTGAACCCAAAAGACCTGAATTAAAGGCCTGACTCTGCACCTTGCCAGCTGCACCTCCATGAACAACATTCTCCATTTTGCTGAGCCGGGGCAGCCTGAAGGGGGCGCCAGGCACGAGAGGAAGCCCTGGGTTCCAGTCCTGACACAGCCCTCGCGTGGCCTGGAGCCCAGGCCTCGGAGTGTCAGAGTCCTCAGTGGAATGGGGCGGCCCTGCGTCCTCCCAGGCCGCCGTGACCACCAAGGAGAGAGTGGCATAGGGTGCCACAGGTCGCTGCTGCCGGCACGCAGGGGAGCTGTGTTGCACAGCGGTCACAGGGGCTGGCACTACAGAAGCGGGCAGCCCAGCGGGCCTGCTGCTCCTGACTGCGGACAGGCGCTGAGCTCACCCGGGCGTGCAGGTGGACGTCTGACCCACGCGAAGACCTGCCGCCTGCCTCCTCCAGGGCCTGGGCTGGTGCAGGGGATGGAGCTCTGGGACAATACAGGAACCTCCCAGGGTGGATGTGGGGTGTCCAGGGGTCAAGGATGGAAAAGTGATTTTTTTTACATACATGTATGTATGTGAGTGTGTATATATGTACACACAAAACACACACCTGTGCATATACATCCCTTTGCACCTCTGGCCTTGAAAATACTTTACCTGCTAAGAGTGAATCTCAAGAGAATTCCCCAGGTCTGTGGACACTGCCAACAGAGCCCCCTGTGTTCCTGCCTGAACCTCACACCCCACCTCTGCTTGCAGACCGATGCAAGGGCGTGGGGGGGGGGGCGAAGGGAAGGACTGGGCCGAGGCCCCTCAGACCTGTGCAGACCTGCGCAAACCTTCCTCCTAGATCCAGAGGCTGCACTTCCTGGGCTCGAAGCTGCCCTCTGCCCTCACCAGGGCAATGCCATAGCCACACACGGGATCGCCAGTTATTCTCGGCTGCCCCTACCCGGCCCCGCACTACAGCGGAGGGATCTTGCTAAGGTGTGTGTCTCTCTCTCCTTCCGAAACCCTCCCATGGCTCCGCATGACCAGATTCACCATTCCAACGTGGACGGTTGTGAGACTGGAGGAAGGTGGTATCAGCACCCAGGCCAGGGCAGCAGCACACCCTGGGACGCCGGGACAACCTGACACAGCGTGGCTCCAGGCCGGCCTGCCTCCCTGTCCTCCGCCTGTGCCCCCAAAACTCCAGCCACTCTTTCCAATTCCTTGACCACATTCTTAAACACCTCTTGCCTCTGGCCTTTGCTTGTGCCCTTCCTGGTAACGCCTCCCTTCCTGTCCTTCACCTCAGCTAGCTCCTGCTCCTCTCCTATGGCTCAATACGCAGTCTTTCCTCAGCCTAGACCCAGGGCCCCTCTGTATGTTCTCACAGCTCGCTGGGCTTGCCCAACGCAAGGCTCAGCACCCGCTCCTATTCCTCATTTCCCGCCTGCCAGCAACCCCCCCCCACCCGCCCCCCGCCGCAGACATCGCTCGCTTGTCCTCTGTGCAGCAGGCACTCGCTCAACACGTATTGGGTGGCCAGATGGATCAGCAAACAAATGAATGAATCCCGGCCCTACCACCTGCTAGCACTGTGACCTCGGCCAAATAACCTGACCTCTCTCAGTTACAGGTCAATGTCTAAAATGGGGATAATCAATATTTATCTCCCTGGAATGTTATAAGACTACATAAGACATGTGTGATGCCTGGCACACAGTAGGTGCTCAGCAAGTGCCACTGGAAGGTGAAGAGCAGTAGGCAATGCTCAGTTGGCACCAACTGTTTACTGCACCGGTGTTGACTGTTTACAGTCACTTGGCAGATCTTGTCTGCCCCCTGGCTGACCAGCCCCGAAGGCAGGGATCAGATGTGAGACTTCTCTGTGCTCTGCTGTGCCTCTCCAGCTGGGCAGACACCCAGTGCTGGACATGAGCGTGCCACGCTCCATCCCTCTTAAAGGCCCACGTAAGACCAGTGTCTTAGAAACTGCTTGAAAACATCCAGCCCGATGTTGGTCCACCACCTCTTCCAAGGGGAGTTCCGAGATCTAGGAGTCTAACCTGGCCTAGATGCTCACAGCCCAGACATGTCCACAGGTCCCATGCTGATTACACCACGACCTCAGATTTGCTCTCTGCTTGTTGCAAACCTGAGGAGAGACCCATAGATTCCCCAGCATCAGAGAAAAGCAAGACCAACACGGCTTTGTCTCTCCAGCTCCCGTGGGAGGACCCACGTCCGCTCCTACACGTGCGTCCCACCCCCCCATGATAGCTAGCACAGGGCTGGGCACCTAGGACATGCTTAAAAACACTTGCCAACAACTCAATGAATGAGTAAAAGAATAAACAGACACACAGACAAATGAATGCACAAATGAATGAATGAATGAATTAGAGCCAGTACAGAAGTGTTAAGAATACACGCTTTGCAGTTAGTCCCCAGGCGGGAATCTCAGTTCTACCACTGAGTTGCTGAGGGACCAGGGCAAGTTATTAAACGTTGCCATGCCTTAGTTCCCCCCGCTGTAGAAGGAGGATCACAAAGGCATGCACTTCATTTAGTTGTTAGGCCAATAAATGAGACCCAAACACCCAGCAGTTAGCACAGCGCCCAACTTTACAAATGCTACCAACTATCCTTAATTGTTGCACACTGCAGGACAGAGCCTGACTCATGATGTTATTATGCTACATTGTTACCATTACTATTTAGAAATGAAGAAGGGATTGGGGGTGGGGAGGCTGGAGACTGCGTGTTCCCTCACTGCCCTCTACCGTGTTTGAGAACCAGGGACGGCCTAGGAGATGGGACTCAGCAGAGAAAGAGCAGACACCAGCTTGATACATTCCCCATGAAAGGGCAGGGACCTGCTCGGAGATGCCACGAGTCAAGGCAACCCTCCACTGGCCTTTGCATCAGAGCTGACCTCTGGTCCCTGGGAGGCAGAGCTGGAAGAGCCTCCTGCAGCTTAAGACGCAGCTGTTCTCTGCCCGGGTGCTGCGTCCACTGCCCACATGCGTGGCGGTATGACCTACTTCATCAGCACCCACCCTAGACAACTTTGGCGGCCAACAGGGCAGCATCAAAAAATGGGTAGCATCAGTTCTGGGATCTCTGGGTCAATCAGCACCAAGGGTCTAACCTCAGTGAAGGGAGCTCGGCTCCTCCCATAGATCTCCTCCTGGAACTGGGATGGGCCGGAGCTGCTGCAGGCTGGCCTTGACTGTCTTGGCTCGGGGTGGGGCATTAGAAGGAGTCAGGGAAGAGCAGAGGGGTCGAGGCTACTTGGGGCAGATGCCCAGGTACACACTGACCCCACAGCTTTGATGAGGTCTTTTCGTGCAAGCCCACTCCCGCCCTGGCCAGCTGCCCTGCTCACCCGCTGCAGAAACTCCGTCCGCTCCTTCTTCTTATTCCTGCAACGAGCTGCCGCAACTTTGTTCTTTTCCCGGCGCCTTTTCCTCCGCTCCTCTTCCTCGTCTAGCTGTGAGGGCAGAGAGCCACTGATTAGACGCTGAGCCGGCCTGCAGTACAGCTTCTCTCCCGACACTCAGATGTGGGCCCTGCCAACCCGCGTCTCGGAGCTGAGGAAGCTGTCTCCATCTACTGGCTCCCTGGCCTCTCAGCCAATGAAACGGAGACGCTTCCCATCCAGCCCGAGGAGCCTCTCGGAGCAGGTGGGTGCACACCCCTGGGTGGGGGTCGTCAGGGCCCCAGGAGGGCACAGCTGCCTGGGTTCTGCCAGAGTTCGGGAGCCCAAACCTGGGAGTCTACTCACACAAACAGAGGTGGCACCCAACGGTGACGGTCTGTTCTCCTGCCCGGCCCAAGCCCTCTGGACACTGTTTGCCAGGCCAGTGGCTCTCAGGCACGTCCTTTAGAACTGCCTTGGGCGCGGGCACAGCTTTTGCATCCTGCCCCACCCACGTTCCTCTCCAAGAGGTATCTCCTCCCTCCCTCTGCGTCCTTCCACGTGCTTGAATCTACCTTCTCGTCTACCAAACAGTCTCCCAGCCTCCTCAGCACCTTTAATCCTCTTCCCTGCATGTCCTTCCCCAGGACACCCACCTGTATCCTGGGGTCCCAGGGGCTCCCTAAAGTGCCCCGCTCAGGACACAGGCAGAGGGGCTCCCCGAGTCTCTGGGCTCACTCCTCCCCAAGGCACTTTAGGAAACGCACCTCGCATGAAAGCAGGCCCACAACATGGGAAGGAGGAAACTCCCTGCCCACCAACACTGGCTGCCAATCAAAGTGGCCCTTATTGTTGTTTCGATAATACCAGCAAGCGCTGCTGTTAGCTGTCTTCTTTGCTAAATGCTTTAAACACAGGCCATGTATCCTCACAATCAAAGTTGGATGAGAAAGGTACTATCACTGTCCCATTTGACAGATGGTGGTACTGAGGCCCAGCAGTTCAGCATATCCAAAGCCATCTACCTAGGAAATGGCAGAGTCGGCATTCCAACTCGGATTTCTGTGACTTCAACCTTCCTGCTCTTAACCCGCGGCCCACCAGCCCCAGCCCATCAGGGTCACGTTGATGTGATGCCTCTCGTGGTCTGTCACCTACAGGAGACTCTGGAGGACACACACGACCAACTGGGCTGGGGACAGGCTAGAGTGAGAGGCCACTGGAAGTCACAGATTGCCCTGGGCTTGCCAACTCTCTCACTTCTCGCGCTAGTGGGGGCGATTCTGGCAGCATGAGGCCTGGAACACGGTCTCCGCCGAGGCGGCTTTGGGCCAGGAAAATAAACAGCCTCTCTCCATGCACTCCCGGCATGCTCCAGGAGGTCAGGACCCAGAGCCTGGGCCCGAGACCAGCACCCACGGCCATCGTCACAGGCCCTGGCCAGGCAGCCCCGTCTCCTTCTCCACCGCCTCCGAACTGCTCCCCGACCCACGCCCACGCCCACGCCTCCCCAACCCGGGAGGCCGCCGGGAGAGGTGCCTGGCCAACACCGCCGCACCCAAGCACCTCCCGGCCCCTCGGCCTCCTTTGAAACCAAACCAGAAGTGACAGCTCCTCTGGCTGACCCGCATCTGGGAAAATAGAAACCTGGACAAAATCGATTCCGCCCAACCTCAACCTCACCCCCAACAAAGCAGAGGTAACCGTGACGACAGGCAGAGGGAAGGAACTGGAGGAAGTGGCAGGCGGTGCAATCTCCCCTCGGCCAGGAGGGTTTGCCCACAAACTGCTAAGGTGATGCATGCAACCAGAGCACCACCGCCGGGCTCACAGGCCTCCAGCCCTGCCCCGGAGCGCACTGGTTTCTGGCAGAGCTGCTGCTTCTTCGGAGACACAACCTCTGTCCTCCAAGACCCTCCACCCCCGTGCAGGGCCTCATCCTCCCTAAAGCTGGGGGCGCTCAGAAGCTGCTCTAGCAACAGAAGCAAAGAGGCTCAGCTCGACGCTGGAAGTTTCAGAGACCTACTGGGCCTGGCCGATGCCCAGAGAGAGAGGGCTGCTCCACCCACTCCTCCAGCCACATCAACCCCTCCTGCCACCGCCCTCTGCTCCAAACATCTCGCCCTTCTCCAAGCCAGCCAGGCCCTCCTGAGAGGACCTTCCTTTCCCACTTGGGGAACACATACTCAACCTACAAGAGCCAACGGCGCCTCCTCTGGGAAGGCTCTCTGCACCCCAGGATAGAACAACAGCTTTTTCTGTGCCGCTGCAGCACTGTGAGCGCCCCGCTGCAGAGTCTCCGTCACATCCCACCCTGTCTCTGTGGATGGGGGGACCTGCCTTCCCTGCCGGGGACCTGAGCACCCCTGGCACCTGGCACGGAACGTGGCACTTAGCAGGAGCTCAGCAAATGTCAAATGAATGAATGCACAGAGGGTTCTGGAGAAAGATGGCACGGGCTTGGATTCTATCATTATAAAAATGATTTACTGCCTATTTTTGTATCGGCACAGCCTTTCCCCCAGGGCTCAGAAGGAGCCTTCTCTGCTGGATGGACTCTTGTCTCTATCTGCAGGCGGCCAGCAAAGCTTGGGGATGGGGTCCCGTCTTCTCAGAAGCACACTGGCTGGAGGCAGAGCCTAGATTCGGGGTACGGGCCCCTGCTGGCTGAGGCAGGTCTGCACAAATCCTCAGCGGGCCCTGGAAGTATCCAGGCTGTGTGCTGAAGCCTAAAGCCTCCAGTTCCACAGCTGCCACCAGCTCCCAAGCCCACCCCCGGCCTTCCCTGCATCCATGCCCGCCTTGACTAACATCTCCCAGGAAGGCAAGAAAGGACCCAAGAGCCCCATTGCCACATGGCGCTGGGTCTCCCCAAAACACCCCTTCTGTGATTTAAGAACCATCCTAAGGACGCAGAACCAACAGCTGCTGAGGCCCCAGCAGAAATGTGGGGTGGGGCGGCACCCGCCAGCCTCCTCCATCCCCACGGGCCAGCTCTGGCCTGGGCCTACGTGAAGTACAGACCCCAACTGGGACCATCTGGGGGCCCCCACCCCCAGACCTCCTCCCAGTGTCTTTCACCCCCAGACTTGGGCTGCCACCCTGCCTCCTTGAGCTCCCCGGATTGAAGCATTTGGCCACCAGGGGGTCAGAGACAGCACGGGCTGTTTTCAGGCGTCTAAAAATGGAATCCCAGAATGGGAGGTGGCATTTTGTTTTTCCCTGCAGATACAGCTGGAGGAGCCAGGGTGTTTGAGGGGGAGGCAACTTGACACTCAGTGTATTTAAAGGACCAAAAGATGGGGTTAGGGGTGGGTGGGAGCATATCTTTGCCTGTTCTCAGACTTAGTGCCGGCTCTGTCTTCCCCAGATCCCCAGGAAGGCCCGGGGCAGAGCTGTCTGCATTCTGGCAGTGAGGGGCGCCCCTGGGCCATGCTTCATGTGAAGGGACTTGGGGACCCGTGCCAAGAGGGCCCTCCTGCTGAGCTGCCGCACCCCAGGGAGCCTGTTCGCAAGCCCCTGCTGAGGGCTGGGGGACCCCAGGCCCTGGCCACAGCCGACTGGGCGAAGCGTGGATGGCTGACCCGAGTTGGGATGTATTTGCCTCCTGGAAATTGAAAATCGGACCACTGGGCTGGGAAGCAACCAACTTCAGCCATGTGGCCAGAGGAGCAGAAAGATCAGGCTGCCGGAGACAAGCAGAGACCGTGTGACAAGAGAGACACTCTCATTCAGGTATAGGAGGGAGTGACAGAGGCAAAGAGAGGGACTGGGTGACAGGGAGAAAAACAGGGCCTGAACCAGGGGGAGGCAAGCTAGGTCCCAAAGGAGACACATTTAAGGAGGCGCTCACTCTGGGGTTCGTGCAAGGGCGGAGTCAGCCCCCAGGAGTGAATGCCTCCTTAAATGCCAGGCCCTGGGCATCTTACTTGCCTCACACAAGCTACAGACTGAGCAAGGTGGAGACCAAGAGAGAGAGGAAAGGGAGAACAAAGAGACAAAAAGAAAGAGGGAAAGAGAGAGAGGCAGACGCCGGAGACACACGAGGAGACACGGACAGAGGCCAGCGGCACAGACAGGTGGAGTGGACACACAGAAAGCACACACGGAGAGGGAAACTGTCTTGATCCCATCCTCTCAGTTCCACCCCCGGAGAGGCCTGACTACACTTCCTGTCCTTGGGGTCCCTGACGACGCATGCCCTTGAATCTGTGCTGCATGCTCCTCTGACCTGGAGAGAGTTTGAGACGGTCTCTGCCGCTTGTCACTGAAAGACGCCCAGGACACCAGGGTCCCACCCTTGTGAAGTCACGTGATGCCGGGTGACAATGGAGGCGTAGAAGGTGGTCCCCAGGGATCGGGGAGGAGTCGCTGCTGGCCAGGATTCCAGAACAGGTGGGAGAGTGACAGAGCCTGGGTGCAGAAGGGCCCCGGAGCACGCAGAGGCAGGCCCCCTCGGCAGGGGTCAGGTGCCCTGGACCAGGAGTGCAGCGGGTTCAACGGCCTCAGTAAACCACCCGGGACGGTCTTACCCTGCCACCTTCACCGGGAAGGAAACCGAGGCTATCAGGGCTGCCTGGCAGGTCAGTGACAGCCCGCTGCTCCTCCAAGGGCAGGTGGGCTGTGCGGGGCACTGCCCCCCCCCCACATGGTAACAGGCCCCTGCCCCCACCCTTTCAGCTCCATCCTGGCCATAGGACTGAATTCTGAGGGCGATGACCATTGTTTTTCCCTCTCCGCGTCATTTAAAATGAAAAACTGTTGCTGTACAAGTAACACTGAATGTGTAGCATTAAAGCCGCGTGGCTTCAAGGAGGGCCTCCCCCTCGCCCTTCCACCCCTGCCTGACCCTCACTGGTGGCCCTGTTTCTCAGGCCCCGTCTGCAGGCCCTGTGGCTTTCATACAATGGTGACAGTTGCCCAGTTGTGGTTGTGAATTGTGACATTTCATAGCCTTTCCAAAAATGTATCTTGTGGGACCCACACGCAGGTAAGATGAGAAAAAGCAATGATACTGTTTAACCCGAGGCACTGAAAATACAGAAACTGTCATATGGACAAAGCAATAGAGA